CTCAAACATTAGCGGAAGAATGGTGGGGCGCGTCTTCGTGGATGAAACGATCTATAGTCTCTTTGCCCTTTTTCCTGTGACGCAGATTTCGGCACGCATGCGGATCTCGTCTCTTTAAAATGCTTGTAGCTAGCGTAATAGAAAAAACATGTATGAAATAATGAAATGGGGACCATCACAGGTCACTTAAATTGCATACATCCAACTCTTGTCTCATTCTTACGGTCCCTTAACATGGCACATGTCAATTATTTTCTAAGAAGACTCACTGAATAATAAATAATACAAGTAATACTAATAAAAAGAACAATATTTTTCTTACGTAGATACTACAGAAACATGTTGGAATAGTCGATATATCTTATGTATTGTCGCTTCGTGTAAACAGTATGTAAATGCGAGATATTGTTAACGTGCCCAGCTTGAACAGGTGTAACCAATAGCTACCACAAGCTATACATGCAAGTATACCTCAAAACTTAACATTAAAAATGTAAAAAAAAAATTAAATTTGCGATGTATCTGCTAGGTTACCAACTATTTTGGTAAGAAATGTGGATGAAAAGTTGCTGGAATATGCGTACTTATAATATTTGAATAATGTAACAAATAAATATGACTCTCCAGTTCACATTGCGCGCATATTTATAAATAGTTCAAACAAATAAATAACGTCATTTTATAATTATCTCCTTACTTAACCGGTCAAATGTTAAGTTAATTTCAACTTTCATCGTTAAATAACGTATTTTAGACGTTCAGTAACTTAAAAATCGGTTATCATACTCGTAAATAAAATACATCTTTAGACAATTTCACACAGCGCCAGCTAGCTCTAAAGAAACTCATATGCTTGTGTTATGGGTGCTAGCTTAACGGATATACTACTTGTATATTTTTTTTAAATACATACATATTATACATAGTAACACCCAGACCCGTCTCAGAAATTAAAATTCATCATTTCAATTGTTGAACCATCATTTAAAAATTTGGATAATGATTATTTACAGTTACCAGCGATGGTGACGGATCTCAAATTTAATAATGATTAATGCAATTAATATGCGGTCATACCGCATTATAGGACCGCAACGAAATTAATCAGAAGAACATAGGAGGAGTTCGAAGTTACGGTGAACTGACCGATGCTACAACCACTCCGACTACTTCTACACCTTGTATATGTACCTTATAAGCATAAATGAAGTATTCTTTGGTATTAGTATCATTCCCGGCCAACGTGTACAAAAAGGAAAATATGATCCTAATGTCTTAAAGTTTTATCTTGGGTTATCCCCAGTGCTTATCGTTGAACTGGTTTGTCCGACAAAGAAATCGAACGTGTGACTCAGGCATGTTGTCTTGAACCTTAGTCTTCGATCAACAACCAACTAGATATCGGGTCATCGCAAAAAATACGCCTCGGAAAATAAGAGCGCACTTGAGAAGTTATTTTATTGTAATTCATCTCTTTTTTTCGTCTGCCATCAATTTAATTTAATATTTTATAACCTTTAAAATTCCCATGGAGTGGAGATGGGGTGGAGCTGCTAACTGTGAGTTGGCGTAATTAAATAAGAAATTACTTCTCAAGTGCGCTGTTATTTCGTCGTATAATTGTGTCGACTTCCTCAAAACTATACTCCCGATTCCTGAAATTATAGAATCGTTTTTATTTTTTAAATAAAAATAAAGTACCTACAATGAAATGAAGTGAATTTATTCATATGAATTCATTTGTATTGTTTGTTGTAGAGCGTGTAACATCAAAAACTTTACTTTTATGATATCTTAATCATACGAGTTGTTATTTATTATATTTATTAGTTACTAGAAGTTTGATGTGACAATAAATATGAAACAATCAGAGCCAATTTTAGCTGCCAAAGAAATAATGTATGTTAATTGACTCATTAGTAAATCAATATTCGATTAGAAATTTATTAAAAACGGATTTCCTACAGTTCACAGACTTTCAACAATGTTTATAATAATTCATTTAACAATTATTTGTATTGTATAACTTTTACGTTGTGTGCTTGGTTCTGTGTAAGTAGTCGAGAAATACGAGGGCGGCACTGAAAATTTCGGGAATCAAGGAAGTGAAACAACATTACTATTTAAAAATGTATTTATTGCTTTTTAAAGTATTCTCCGCGAAATTTGACACATTTTTCCATACACGAAACCAATCATTGAAGCAACCATTGCATTCGGAAGTTTGGGTCTCCAAAATGGCCGTTTTGTAGGCTTCCACAGCTTCTTCAGGTGATGAAAATCTCTGACCACGCAATTTATTCTTTATTTTAGGGAAAGTATAGAAATCATTAGGGCTTAGGTCGGGGCTGTACGGCGGATGGACTAATAATTCTATGTTTTCTTGCTCTAAAAACTCTTTTGTTCAGTGCGCGGTGTGAGAACTCGCATTGTCGTGATAGAGGATGATGCGGCGGTTGCAGTTCTCTTTACGGAGTTCAGAAACGACCTGTGGCAAACAAATGCTAGCATACTAATCTGCATTAACCGTTCTTTGTCCCCCAAGAGGAATAGTCGCAACATGGCCGGTTTTGGAGACAAACGTGGCCACCATTTTTTTTGCAACACTCCGTGAACGAACAATTTTTGTTGGCTTTAATTCATTTTCGAACACCCAAACTCGTGACTGGTTTTTTGTTTCGGGTTCGTACGCGTATATCCATGATTCGTCACCTGATACGATGTTGTATACAGCATTTGAGGATCCTGCATGTAATCTCCCGAGAGTTCTGACGCACCAAGTAACGCGAGCCGCTTTTTGCTCTTCACAGAGCGAATGCGGTATCCATCGGGAAAACAACTTTTTTACACCTAATTGTTCATGCAAGATTATTTGTATTTGACTCATGCCAATGTCTAAAGTTGCCTGAATTTCGCGGTATATCACATGTCGATCTTCTTCAATCAGCTTACGCACAGCATCAACGTTTTCTTAGGTGACTGCAGTTTTTGGACGACCTTGACGGGGATCATCACTGAGCTTGACACGTCCACGTTGAAATTCAGGAAACTAGCGATAAATTGTGGTTTTGGATGGGGCTTCATTACCAAATGCAGAAATCATCCGGTCAACACACTGTTTTTGTGTTAAACCACTTCAAAAGTCATAATAAATCATCGCTCTTGAATTTTCTCGAGTCAATTCCATTTTCTCAACGACTAAACAAGTTTGACAAGACCTTGTGATACGACCGAGAATCTTTTTTTAAATAAATAAATGGTATACGATTTTTAAAACCCTGGAGTTTGCAATTAAATAGATTTTAATATGACTGGAACAGTGGAAATATTACATTCCCGATACTTTTAGTGCAGCCCTCGTAGTAGTTTTATTTTGACACCTTCATAAATAATCCGAAGGCTACACGAAATCCGGATACAGGCCGATCAGTGCATATAATATCCGGCTAAGCTGGTCTTAACTTAATACGGACTGATATTTAAAGAAGAAAGAAAGAAAGAAAGAAATATTTATTACGATGAACATCACTTAGAGAACAAAGAAAGTATATGGAAAAAAGACAGATATTTCAAATCATTTACTACCTACCATTCAAAACATCCCAATAGTAGGCCCCAAAAGATAAGGAGACATGTAAAGTACCCCTTAAGGACTAGCTCTCATTTTATTATTTTTGACGTAAATAAGTACCAAAATACAGGTCAAAATTGAATAAATATTTTTGATTTTGATTTTGAATAGCGTAAATATAGACCTGCCCCAAAGTTATCTACCACAGCATTTCATATGAATAATTTCCACGATTTCGATTGTTGTTCCCATAAGTTGCTGTGTATCAGGTGGTAATTATGATGTTTCAAGGACTTGGCGTGTACTGTACATCCTGCATAATTAAATATGAGGTCAAGGAATACCATATATCAGGAGAAAGGTCACTGACTGACTCACTCATTACGAAATATCAGAAACTATAACACCTACAATCTTGAAATATGGCAGGTAGGTTCCTCATAGGGTGTAGACATCCACTAAGAACGGATTTTACGTTCGACTACAAAAGAGGGCACTCGTACGTTAGCATTGATCATGTATAATCCAATTAATTTGTCCTAATTTAAAAGTATAATCTGTTTCTCTATTAGTCGTGAGTTTTTAACGATTTGGATAATTATGTCGACAATATGTCGACAGGTAAATGATAATAAATTATTTTAGAATTTTTTCCTAAAATTCAAACATAATTATTATGCTCGACGTCGTATAAGTTTTATTTAGAAAGTAAATTATTATGACTTGACGATAAACGATCACTACCACACTCACCACCAGTGAGTTAGCAATGATCCCAACTAATATTATAAATGCGAAAGTAACTCTGTCTGTCTGTCTGTCTGTTACGCTTTCCCGCTTAAACCTCGCAACCGATTTTGATGAAATTTGGCATAGAGATAGTTTGAGTCCCGGGAAAGAACATAGGATAGTTTTTATCCCGGTTTTTGAAACAGGGACGCGCGCGATAAAGTTTTTCTGTGACAGACAAAATTCCACGCGGGCGAAGCCGCGGGCGGAAAGCTAGTTTTAACCTAAGGCGAAGTCAAAGGATAAAGGATAAAGGAAACCGTAATTTCAATAATAATTAGTCATTGAAGAGACCCTTATTCCTACATAATATTCGAAAGTCTGAGCTCGAAACACATGTATAGGTATTATGGTGTCTGGAAGAAATCGCTTCATAGCGATAAGACCGTCTATTTGTACTCGTCCGTGTGTTTCTTTAATTTGTTATTGTTTTTGTTGTGGTGTCAGAGTAAAGTGGTGTGCAATAAAGAGTTTTTATTATTATTAATTTATTATGTTCCTCCGTAGTGCCCAAACTATATATATGTATATGTATAGTAATCATTAGATGACGAGATGTTTCGTGAATCGCTTTCGTTCGTAGAATCGTATGAAAATCCAACACATCGGCTACAGTTTTTAACCATCAGTTGTTACTTACCTGACACGTTCGTAGTCCTGTTATCCGCATCAGGGGGCACCGGGGTAGATTGGTTGGAGGCTGCGGCCGAATCAGGGGTCGCGGGGGGCGCAGCGGGCGAGGGGGGCACAGCGGGCGAGGGGGGCACGGGGGCCACGGAGTCGGCGGCCCCGCGCCTCACCCTGGCGTGGTCGAGCGTCACGATGTGGGGCCGCAGCCCGCTGAACGATTGCGCATCCATCACATATTCTGGCTGGTGGGCTGGAAACAAGGTCGCTGGTTAGGAAACTGGCACTTGATAACGGTTTTGTCTTAATAACTAGATGCGCGGTGTTGCTCGCGGTAAAACGTAGCCTATGTAACACTAACTCCATACCAAATTTTATAAAAATCGCTCCAGCCGTTTAGACGTAGTGTGATTAGAGGATTTCCAATACCTGAAACAAGTAGTCTGGTATATTGTACCGGCTGCTAAATTGTACCACCTTCATATATCGTATCATATCTTTAAATGGGCTACAACGGCAACACAGTGATACGCAATAACAATTTGACTGACGTAATAAATGAAATTAGTTATGTATCGCTGAGTGTTGCAACAATCTAAAGAATATTCCAGGTAATATTATAGTGGTCCCATTTAGCAGCCGGTCCAATATACCCGACTTTCCCCTACGAATCAAGAACGAAACTGTTCTTGTTATTGTATGTTTTATTTTTATTTTTTACACATGCAATAGAATGTAATTTTTTCATTTATGTTTGTTTAAACTTATCTAATTGTCGCATGCGGAAGATGTAGACAAACCTCCTTTTTAGTTATTTATGGTTTTGTCTATTTATTTTACTTTTTTACTTTTGTCTTTGTTGCATTACAATGGCGTAACAAGATTGCTGTGTTTTAATTTCTATTCACATTTTACATAAGTTTTGCCCTTTCTTTAACATCTGGCGACCGTGACAGAACAAAACAACTATTGTTTAATTTTCAAATGCATCTACTTATGTATGTTTATTAGATGTCTAGTCGTCATAATTGCGAGCTAAAGCCCGGTCTGTGAGCACGTAGAATTCTTATCGCTCGCGTGTGATTTGGGGTCATTGGACAAAATTCTACGTGCTCGCAGACCAGACTATAGTAAATTATATCAAGGAATAATCTTCAGAGAAAACCGGTCTGTTAATAACTGTCCGCTATCTAGGAGAACCCGAATGCTCGCAAAGTTTAGTATTGCGTGCAGTTCTGGGATACGATCGTCAGAGTACAGTCAGCGTCAAATAGTTCGTGACACCAGAGTAAATACAAATGAGTATGTCATCTTCATAGAAACGCACGGGCGCGGTTTGTATGTGGGCGCGGTTTGTATGTGAGCGCGCGCACGCACACACTGACAAAATTTAGCTTTTTTGAAGGGACGCGCGCTGGTAGCTTGAGGAGCTTTTCCAGCTTCACCGGGCAGAGTGGCGAGTACAGAAGGTACTCTAGCCGTTTGGCGATCGTCGGTGCGCGTGCCGACGAGGCCGAGTGTGGGCTTCGCGAAGCGAAGCCCAGGCTCGTCCGCGTCGGTCGCAGACCGACGTTCGCGATCGGGCCGTATCGAGCGCAGATGGCGCCCGATCAGTGGCGAACCCAACTAGAGGGTTGCCCACCGCGGTGTTGGACCAAAGTCCAGCCTACGGCGGGCTCACTCTAGTGGGCCCGATCGAGGGGACTACGGACGCGGCCTGAGGGCGCCACGGTAGGCTCGGACCTCGGCTCAGGCCGTGTCCGGGGGACGGATAGGGGAGAACCGGCCCGGTACATGTCTGTACCGTCCGAAATGGAAAGCAGGGCCTCGTACTCGCCGGCGAGTACGGTGTAACGAGCTACACAAAATTTAGCGGGGAGCCAGTCGTGGTTGCGCCGAATTTTGTCAGCGTGTGCGTGCGCGCCGCATACGTATTGGCGCGCTCACATACAAACCGCGCTCGGTGCGTTTCTATGAAGATGACCTACTCATTTGTATTTACTCTGGTGACACCCAAAGTAATAAGTTCGCAATCGCAACACGTCTTTGTTACAATTGGAATAAGGTTGTCAACTTCTTGGCCGCTTTGGAAGTCACGAACTAATTTGACGCTGACTGTAGGTACTACGTTCACAAGATTGCTAAATTCGAGCTGGCAGGAGCTTTCGCAACGCAGGTTGTGGATTACCGCAAAATGTACGTGGTATGATTAACACTAACATATTATATTGCTATAACTTTCTTCACGTTTAAAGGATAAGCAGCAAGTATTACAGAGTACAGAGACGACCTAATAAAGGTAGCAGGAAGGCGCTGGATGCAGGTCGCTACCAACTGTGCAATGTGGAAGTCATTGGGGGAGGCCTATGTTTAGCAGTGGACGTCCTGAGACTGAAATGATGATGATGATGATGATTACAGTCATCTGCTTTTAAGAACACGCGCTCTGTAGGTCATGAGGTACCAAGACAGTAATATTTCTGTAGGCCAAATATGGTTTTGATGTCAGTAGCCAACCCTCAAATTCAGATATGCAAGTCCTAGACATTTTCTTAAGTTTTTTGTAAATGTGTTACTATTTTCCTAACTAAATAGATATTTTTCCGAAAATGATAATATAATTTACGAATATGCTAATTTCGTTAAAAAATAAACTACTATACTATGTGTAGATTGCTGGATCCTTATAATTAAAATGCGACAAATCGCAGCCATTTACTTGAAGCTAAACAACGAGCCAAAATCATCATGAACTCCATGCTCATTGAATTACGGCTTAGTTTGCTTGACAGGTTACAAAAAGTAGTATGTAGGGACGATAATAGAACTGTAAACGTAACGAACAGTGTCGTGTGTATGCGTTACTACATCAATCAACACTCGTCACAATAACCATGGTTATTGGATTGTTGCTACTCGTATATTAGTTACTTTGATACAATCGAGAAGTAGGTACGTACATCGAGCGAGTGGAGCAGCTGAAGTCACGTCTCAAAAGTTCCTAAGTCGTATCGTTTGTAACTTTGTAGTTTGTAGGTTATATGTGCAAGTTCACCAATACCAGCCTGTTCCAGTTTGTAGTTTCAAGAGGATATAGTTCAGTTCTAAACTATACAGGATGGATTTTTGTAATGCCACCTGAAGGAAAAGTACTCTTAATACTGTACAATAGGCTAGTTTCCTAAAAAATTTTTTTTAGTCCGTCATGTTTAAAATTAAAAATATTGGACACGTATATCTTTAATTGTCAATCAAACAAATTATAGTGCGTTGAAGTTCCGCGCGACGTCACAAAGTGCTGCACTTTTACGCACTCACTGACGTCACCGGCCTTTTCTTTAGAACTTTGGCACGATTTATCTCTTTACATTTTCATTAGTTTTAAAAAGTGAAAAATACGTGTCGAGTAGTTTTTGATAAGCTAACTGACGGACTAATTAAAACTCTTACTTTTTTACCCAGGAAACAGCCCTATTGTACATAGAAAATTTAATCAAAGAAATCACAAACGAATATCAAAAGAGCGGTGCTTTGTTCAGAGTTGGAATACTCAAGTATGACGGTAAGTGTAATGCCCTAGTAACTACGCAAAACACTGAACAAAAGGACAAAATGGTGTCGCGCAAACATCGGGTCGTTGATGCCTCTGTCTATTCTATCGAAGTAACAGTAAACGATACGAGATGAAACATATGAGGTTTCTGGCTACTAGGACCGCAATTAACTGGGACCGCGGTCCCAGTCGCTGGATCAATAACAATTTAATATTTTTCTTCCAGCGACTAGGACCACTCATAGATAACTTAGGAAAAAATATTCAAGCTAAAATCGGTACAGTACTAAAATTTGAGTGGTCCCAGTCGCCAGAAGAAAATTATTTATTTTTTACGGGACCTGCGATTGGACCGCGGTTCTAGTTAATTGCAGTCCCAGTCGCCGGAAGCCTCCATAATAATGTTAATCTATGTTTTGAAAATTCGGTGTTCAATACCCGTTGTCACACAAAAAGTACCTACCTACTTATAACAATAAATCATACAAACATAGTAGTAAAAAAGTTTTTATGTCTGTATTTTGGTTCCCATCATCACTGTCGCACGTGTTAGAATCACGCTATGAGTAAGAGAGATAGATAGCCTCGAAAATACAGCGTCAGGGATTGACCAAATGAGATCATAAACATTCATAAGATAAAGAGAGAATGTGACTTCTCTGAATCAATTTGAGGAAGACCGATAAATAATAATTTTATTATCACACTAGCTTTCCGCCCGCGGCTTCGCGCGCGTGGGCTACATTATCTACATATTTTACAGAACCCTATTTTTTTCCAAAATAAAATTTAGCCTATGTTACTCGTGGATAATGTAGCTTTCGAATGGTGAAAGAATTTTTAAAAACGGTCCAGTAGTTTTTGAGCCTATTCATTACAAACAAACAAACAAAGATTTCCTCTTTATAATATTAGTGTAGAAAACATAATTGTCGGGATTTTCCCGTATGCCTTCATCAATCTTATCACAGAAATCCTCAGCTAAGAAAAGATTTTATTTTGGTAACCCAAATTATTAGAAAATTATTAAAGTTTTATTTTTTCTTACATTTTATTCAGATCAGTAAATATACTCGTAGTTTGACCTCGGTACGGCAGTATTCTCACCTCTCATTCCCACCGCTGCAACTCCTGTGTAGCCAGGATCTACAGCTTGATTGCCAATAAAAACCCAACCAGTGAAGGTCAAGGTTGTCCCCGGGGAAAGTTTAATTGTAATCAGATGTACCTACTTAGGAATTCGAAGTTAGGGTTCAACTTCCCTCCAGAGTCCAGTGCAAAGACCTCGATAATGGACCCAGTTCCACATAAACAGAGGTCTTCGTTAACTGGCCGATTGACTGGCAAACGATCGGTGTACGTTGTTATGTAGGTAGCGTTTATTTAACGGGAGCACGACGAAGTCTCTGCGTGAATATTCGTATTTTTACTTTTACAACTAAGTTTATATTTAGTGCAGCGAGTGAGCGACGAGTTCACACGGTTTGCTCTAAAAATAAAGTGAATTCTCGCTGTGACACTTTCTTCAACAGATATTAACACTTCAAAGGTCGAATTGGAACAGTTTTATTTTTTGATACACAATGAGTGCATCTTATTTCTATTGGGGCCTAGGTAGACCGTAAACTAGAACAAAATGGACGCAATCTCATACAAATATAAAATCACTAGCTTTCCGCCCGCGGCTTCGCCCGCGTGGA